ACAAGACCTAAAGAAAAAGAAAAAGAATTAGTAACAAGAAAAAAAAACCGAAAAACAAAATAGAAAATGAAAAACAAATAAAAAAGAAAAACAAAAACAAACAAAAAAAAAGAGAATGATACTTATTCTGGTTTAAGATCCTGATCCTGGTCTCCATTGACCCTTTCTGGCGAAGCACAAGACCTAAAAAAAAAGAAAAAGAATTAGTAACAAGAAAAAAAACTCAAAAAACAAAATAGAAAACAAAAAACAAACAAAAAAAAGAAAATAGTACTTATTCTGGTTCAAGATCCTGATTCTGGCCTTCATTGACCCTTTCTAGTGAAGCACAAGATCTAAAGAAAAAGAAACAATAATTAGTAATGACAAAAAAAACAAAAAAAACAAAAAAAAGTGAACTGGTACTTACTTTTGAATCAGTTCCAAGTTAGATCCTGATCTCAGCCTTTCTGGCAAAGCAAAAGACTACAAAAAAAAAATCAAAATATTAAACTGACTAATGAAGACAAAAAAGAAAAAAAAATTGTAAATAAAAAATTTTTGAAAAAAAAAATAGTAAATAAAAAAAAAGATTAAAATTAAAAAAAAAACAAATTGCTGCAATATAGATCATAGATGCAAAATATTTCGAAATATTTTGTATAACACAATAATTTTAAAATATGTTGCATTTAGCAAAAATTTTGAAATTTATTTTGCAATATTTTGAAATTATTGTACTATACAAAATCTTTCAAAATATTTTGCATCTATAAATTTGCTGATAATTATTAAAATATTGAGATAGATTAGAGCTTAGAAATATACAAGAGGCTTTACAAAATGCATAGACATAGAATTTTGGTGAAAATGAATCTAATTCTGATAAAAATTCTTTAGACTTGTATAATTCTGATAATATAGGTACAATAGCTGAATTGGCCAATGCTATAGATTGATCCTTTAATAATACAACAATATATAGAATCATTTTAACAAATCAAATTAAAAGATCAACAAAAGCAATTCGATATAAATATACTAACCTGCAACAAGATCTGGTGAACGAATGATAGAATTGTGATATATACAAGCAGGAGTGAGACCAGGCATTGCTTGAATTTTATCAGTTACAGACTAATGCTCAGAATCAAGTAAACAGAATAATAAATAATATAACAATAAAGCAAACCTATATCAGTGCATTGCTATGTGAAAATTTTGCTTTTCAGAAATTGTATTAGTAAAATACTTGCTATTTACAATAATGCAGAGCCAAAAAGCTTTGCTAGAATATAATCGAGATAAGTTATATAAATGATATGAGAAGTAGAAAAATAAGACTCATGCAGAGTACCAGAATATTTTAATTTTAAATCAACAAATTTTTGCACTACAAAATAACCTATCTAATCAAATAAATATAGCTGAGACTAAATGTTTATCAGTATTAAAATTAATAGCTTTTGTACTTGCAAAATTTTAACTTTACATAGGTTAAGAACTACCTGATGAATACTTGGATAAGGTTATTCAGTCATAGGCATATCTTGAAAGGCATATGACAGTTCTTGAAAATGCAAACGCAGAAGATTTTAATGATGCAGTCAAGTGTAATATTTTAAAATCTATGATAAGTAGAAAATATGCTCCAGTACTGGCAAATAATAGTTTTGTAATAGGAAATCTAGCTATAAATACTCCAAATACATTATGAGATTAGTTAAGAGCAAAATACCAACAGATAACAATTGAAAATCAGCAATTAGCTATACAAAGATTGATTCAAGAAAAATATCAACCTTATGATACTCTAGATACTTATGAAGCTAGAGTTTGGCCACTATTATTAGAAGTGGCAAACAATGATATGCAAGTTATAAGATTCTTTAAAAGCTACTTAACATGTGATTTTTACACTTAGATGAGAATAGCTAATCCAGCAGATATTAATGCATTTTTTACTAAGCTAAAAAATATATAACTAGAGTATGAACAAAATTTAAATGAAAGGATCTCAGAGAAATTAAATTAAATTTCTAATTAAATGCAAGCCTTATCTAGTAAAATTCAGTATTCTATTCTTTATTACTAGTTGTCTTAGCTTCTCAATCAGCTTTTACTAAAGATAATATACAAAAGGTGATTCAAGAAGCATTAGCATAGCAAAAAACTAAATACTAATCTTTATTAAAAAAGCAAAAGGCTGATTTTCAATCACAAATAACTCAGCAAGCAGTTGCTCAAAAAGCACAAACACCAGCTCTACAAACTGTTAAATCAGTTAGACAGCCAAAAGGTCCACTATCTTTATTACAAACAGAAGAAGATATAGAAAATTATCACTTATTACAATTTTTAAATAATTTAGATATATTTAGTACAAAAGATTTAGAGAGAAATTATTCTATAAAACCTTTTCAAAGATCTTACCTACAGCAAAGCAATGTCTCTGTTAGAATTAATAGAATAGAGGAGAGGATAAATAAAACTTGTAATGCAATAAATCAATTAACCAATCAATTTCAAACCCTAAATATACATAAATGTGATATTTGTGAAAAAACAAATCATAGCAAAGGTAGTTGTTCTAATAAACTGATAGCTTAGTCTAATTTTACTCAGTCTTATTTTACATTACTTAAACCAATAGTTTCTCAATGTATGCCTTATGATTCAGATGAGAAAAATGAAAATTATAATGAGAAAAAGAATAGGTAATATGATTTACTAATAAAAAAAAACAGGTAATAGTAAATAATAACCAGCCAAAAACATATAATGAATTATTTTCAAAGCTTTTGCCAGTTATGCAAAAAATGTGTTAGTCTTATATAGTTCAGAAAAAAGAATCAAAATCAGATGAGTGGTTTTTATCTTTATAGTACTTGCATTATAATATAAATGATCTAACAATTTCTGATTCTTTTTTAGATATTAGAAGTGAATTTGGAGGAATGAATGATGCAACAATTAATGCCCTGGGGTGGAAAGCTAACAAGCCATCTGACTTTGCTATAAAGAAAAATTTCAAACATATTACTGATTTATTAGAATAGTATACAGATGTGTCAGTTACTCTGAAGGATAAAAAAAACAAGACTGTCACAATTATTGGAAATTTTGTTTGTATTGATAATGGCAAATCTGAACCAATGCTATTTTTAGATATGTCAAATATTCAAAAGCTTCAAGGCATCTCCAAGCCAAATAAAAACCAGTTTCACATAAAGTTATATAGGAAAACCTATATTATTCTAACATATAACAAAGCTCTAGTAGCTAAGGATTTGCCAAAAGAGGAGCAGAAGGTAGTCTCTCAGAAATCCTCCTTGAATGATTCAGTTCAAATTTCCTCTAGTCTGACTAGTAAGAATGATTTAAAAAAAAGTGTGAAAAGCTTGAAAAGTGACTCATAAAAACTGAAGAGTAGCTTGATATAGTTCTAAATGTAGGTAAGGTTCTTGCAGAAAGATGTTCTCAACTTACTGAGACAAAGATGAAAGAATAAGAGCTAATCTTTTAGTATTATTCATTAATTTTTCAAGATCAGATTTCTGTCTAGATGTATCATCTTTGAAAGAATTAGTTATTCTATTTTTTTTCACTAGAGAAGATTCACTCTTTGTTTTTATACTAATTTTTTGTTTTTGACTAACTTTATCTTTTCATTTACTAGTTACTGTATTTAGCCTTATATAAGAATTTGCATCATCTTTATCATCTCCAGGATGCTCTATATGAATAACCTCATCTTTTTGTATATTAGTAAAAGAGATATCATGCTCAGTACTTACTAGCTATAAAGATTTCTGGTTTTTTTCTGAAATCTGATCAGAAATGCTAACAAATTCTAAGATTTTATACCACTTCTTAGTCAGTTCAGGAGGTTTTTGATTATCAATGATTTTTTAATATGTCATTGCCTCTATATGATGTTTTTTTATATATAACACATTGAGTATTTGGAATATTATTCTGAGTATTTCTAATTTCTTTAATAGCTTTAGGTAACAAGCAGATGGTATCTGATCTAAGAAATTTATGAGTATAAGTTAATAGTTTTTTTACTTATAACTTGTTAATAATAAATTTACATAATACTAATAAAAAACTTGTAAAAAATTTATTTGCAACCTATTTGGCATTGGTCTGATATTAGTTTGATATTAGTTTGAAATATAAAGAAAATTCATTTCCTTTATTATATAGCTTGCTATAACCATAATCCAAATAGAGTTGATATATATATAGTTTAAATATTATATTTGTCTTAAACTAATTTATTATTAGTTTGATATCAGTTTGATTCTGGCTTCCTTTCTCCACATTAGAAAAAAAATATATATATATAAATAATTTATACCAATCACTTTTGTCAAAAAATTTCTAATGCTGTCTTAAAAAATTATTAAGAAAAAAAAAATATCTATCTTCAAGTAAATTTATATGACAAATCTGCATATGCTGAATAAGATAAATACTAGAATAGCTTTAGTATCTGGCAATAAACTTGGAAGTATTCCATCTAATCGATACTCACTCAGCCGAACAGAACTTGAAAATCAGCTTGCTTGCGCAAATCAAGATCAAGAAATTGCTATAGAGTATGGTAATCAACTTGCTAATAAATGCTCTGTTTTGGATAAAGACAATAAGCATATACAACAGGATTTAAATCAATCTAATAAAGATAAAAAGAAACTTTTCAAGCATATCTACCAACTTACGGATAAGGTTAAGCAATTGTACTTAGAGTTAGATACTCCAACATCTCAGATTACTCACAAGAATATTTCTCTTAATAAATATAAAAACAAGATTCATACAAAACTAAAAGAGATAAAGGCTTTTCAGTCTAAGATAAAAGCATTAGAGATGAGATTATCTTCAACTCAGAAGGACTCATCTATGAAAGAATTTAAGATTGATTATCTTAGAGTTGAATTATCTGCCTTGAATTCTAATTTAGCTTTGAAAAATAGTGAATTAGAGTGCATAAAAAATATATTAACTTAAAAAATAGTGAATTAAAACTAATTAAAAATAATTTGGCTAAAAAAAATTTAGAGATATGCTTCTTAGAAACTAGACTCAAAGAGCTATTGCCTTGCAATAGATTATCATTAGAACAAGTCAAGATTGGAGATGAAAAAAATGCTGATAATATATCAGTTATGTAGTCTCTGCCAAAGAATTTGAACTCTTTATTTTTTGCAAAATATTTTGTATGTAAGCCTAGACTTGAAGAGTCATTGCTTCACAATAAGACAGAGAATAGTCAAGTAGATAAAAATATCTAAGAATTTTTGACTCAACAAACTTTAACCAGTTTAAATAATAATGTCTAAAGAATCTGAAATCTCTAATGAGAAGCAGATAAATAATAAGCAGATACAAAGTAATATTTCTTTCAAAATAAGCTCAGAGTATATTATATCTAAAATAAAAAATAATAATATACTAATAAGAAAGATTAAAGCATTATTTGTTGTAATATTAGGTGCTAGCGAAGCTTTGGTTAATTATAAGTATCAGATTTTTTCTATTGTTAAGTTTGTTGTTTTTGTTATAATAACAATACTAATTATTTGGTATATATACAAGAATATTTTTTGTCCAACAAAAAAAGAAGAAAATTTTTATCCAATATATAGAAAACAAAGTTATAGATTTCCAATTTGCCATGCAAAAAAATTTAAAAATACCTTTTATGAAACTATTTCTTATAGATATAGATAAAACTAATAAACATATTGCATCTTGTTGTTAATCTCATTCAGCTAGTTCAACATGGCTCTTTAAAATGATAGTTACAAAAAAAAGTAGATCAGATAAGACTAATATCTTAACAAATTTTTTTTTAATAATAAAACTAAATACATATATAAAGGAAAAAAAGATGGTAGAAGATATATTTCTTGTAATGATTTAATAGTTTGTAGTTATCATCCTAATGAGCCAAAATGGGCATTTATTAGATATATGTATAGTATAATTTTAAAAGACCTGAAAGCACCTTACTATAAAAATTTATGATTTAGCTATATATTATTAGAAAAAATTCCTAGTGTAAAAGCATTTTTATTTGAATAAAGTACAGCAATTGTTTTTGAGGATTTGTGTTTTGCTTCAGAATATATATAGAATTGAATTGGCCAATTTTTTGGAAATGGATGACATTAAAATAGTTTATGTATATTTGTGATACAGAAATATTATAAAATCATTACATTTATGTGTAAAAATGCTAATTACTTAGTACTTTTTAATTCTAGTAGTTTATATGAAGATGTTTCTAAAATTATTTGTAAATATACAAATAATATAAAAAATGCATTAATGGTTATTAACAGCTACTTACATAAAGGCAAATTTATTGTATTTAATCTAGATAGGCCTGAGAATAATCTATTTGCAATTTGGCTAAGGTTTGATACTTTACTAGATTTGCAAAAAGAGATAGAGTTACAGCAAAAGTACAAGATAAAAAATATATTATCTGCTGAACCCACTTTATAGATTTTTATTTCACATTGATATTTTTTATTTCAGAAATTTTATAATATATTTCTTAATTGTGATCTCAAGAATAACATTATTGCAAAGCAATAAGGCTCTGCCCCTAAAAAAATGATAGACAACTACCTATCTATATCTTTAAGAATATCAGTAGAACTAACATAGCCAAAAATATTATATAAATAGTATAAGTATTTTGTACCTGCAAGGAATTAATAAATCAAATAAATACTATGCTTCTATCTCTAAAAGTTACTTTTGGAATCTAATCTGCAATTGACTTTTTTTGCATTTTATTTAATTATCTGGAATTAATATTCTTTATATTGTCTATTAATAATGAAACTGAATATTATAGAATTGTTTTTATATAATTCAATCTATTTAGTATGTCACTGATTAAATTGTTCTCAAGTCTAAGAATTTTTTATTTTATGTCTTGTTAAACCTAAAAATTTTATATTATCTGAAGTATTATTATTTGCTAAGCTGTTTCAAGCAAGTTATGTATTCAATAATACTCTTTTTTGAAATCATCTATATGTTTGTTGAATAATTTTTGCTGAACTATCTCTAGTTCTAGCTTTATTATACCTGTAATCTCAATGTTCCTGATTCAGGTCTTTAGAATCAAGAATTTCTATATATCTACCTTTTAGGAAATAGTGCTTCTTTTTCAGCTTTATATTAACATTAATATGAATTACTTTCTAATACCCAAAGCAAATTGCAGTTCCATTCTTGAATAATTTTGAATAATAGTAATTAAAATTTTCTAACTTATTTTCAGGATAAGAAGCAAATAAGCAAGATCAGTGATATATACTAAATTTTTGTTAGAGTAACAAATCTTGAAGATTGATTCTAACTCGTACTGCCCATTAAATAAGATTTTCATCCTGTCTTATGATAGACAAGTTGTCATATAATCTTTTAGTTGAATAAAGTCATTCAAGTTGTTCATTACCATAACCATAATAATTTAAGACATATAATTGCATATACCTCATATCATACTCAGAATAGTTGTTAAAAGGTTTAGGTAGTATTCTATCTTTTTTATTGATAATAATAGAAATACTAAGACTTGACATATTTGAAATTATTTAATAATAATTTTTTTAATGATTATATGATTTATAGACCTATTAGATTTTATTAACTTAATATTTTCTTAATTTTAGATTCAATTTTTATAAAAGATATTGTAATAAATAAATATCAATTAGATATATAAAGTCAAAGACCCTATCATCTAAAGTTAGATAAAATTTTTTGCATGACTATCCCAGAAAGAAGTATAATAAATAAAAAGCAAGATGGATACATTCAAACTATTTCTCATCTTATAGTTCAGTAAACAAAACTATAGAAAGCCTATATAATTTTTCTCTTCTCATTATACAGACAATAATAGCTGACAATCATACTCTCAAAGCAGTATTTTTATAAGAAAAATGAGGTAGATACTTTCAAACTATTTCTCATTCTATAGCTTAGTGGATTAAACCATGAAAAGCTTATCAGGTCTTTCTCTTTTCACTATATAGACAATTATAATCTGACAATCATGCTCTCAAAATTAAGAAATAAAATAAAATATATAACATGCTTTCAAGAGAAGGAGTACATGAATTCTAAGCTATTTAATGTAAGTTCCTGCATTATATTATTTTCTAGAACATAATTTACATAGTCAGAAGCCCTATCATCTTAATAGAAATAAAATTTTTTGCTTGACTGAAGAAAACTATATTATTAGAAAATGGCTAGATTGCTTATTTTTTGTAGAACAAATAAACTACCATTATCAAAGCACTAAGCCATCTGCTCTGTTAAAGCAAGAAGATTGTGTGCATGTTTGATTACACAATTTACTAAAGTAAACTCATGTCAAGTAGCTATAGAAGGCATCTTATTAACACAAAAACAATCCAATAAAAAAAAAAATGCAATGTTTAGGCAGGTCAGAGCAATAAAATTTATAGTTAAAAAATATAGGAAAAGGGATTTATATAAGTAAGAAACTATACTTCATGTATGTTAATTAATCTTCTATATAGTTCATTATATTTAGTTTTGAGCTGTATATTATTGCCTAGAAAAAAATAATCAGAACATTAATTATATAGTAGTTCAGTGCTTTGCATCTTTGAAAGGAGGGTTTACTTTCATAAATATTTGTACAATATACAAATCATGTCTCAGCAATAATTTTTCTGAATTTTTGATAATTGATCTTATCATGATACTTATTCATTATATAAGCATAGTAGTATCAATTGATTTTAGTTATTTACTTATAATAATACATTAAGTAATGCAGTGCAGAAATGTAAATAAAAAATAGTGATAAGGAAATAAGACTTCTTAAGCACACTTTAATAAAAAAGACACATGTACAAATATCATATATGAAACATAACTACTATAAATCTAGAAGCAGATTTTCTGCCTTTAATTCTTGTTAAGCACATGCTAAATCTAGAGAAACATTGATTATTAATAACTATGTTTTTTGTCTATATATAATGTAGTATCATAAAACAATTCATATCTATATATTTTCATCTTCAATCAGATATAGCAGAAGGGATTTGTATTTGTTTTGCTTTCAGTTTAGGAGATGGGTCTAGTGATTTAAACCCTGAGTATTATTGAGATCTTGCTTAGAAACCATTAGTCTATTAGCACCTTTCTTAATTCCAGCCTTAATATAAGCTTTAGTAAAATCCTGTAAATGATGGAAAAATGTATCATATATGAAATAAATGACACTATGCCAGATCCTTCTAGTGACTGAAAAATTACTATAAAGTAATAAACATGAGGCAAATGCTACAATTTGTTCTAGCCTAAGATGTACAACCATTTGGGACTGAGAAAAACATAACTCTCCTCCTTTATAATCCTTTAGTGCAACTAAAACATATAAACTATTTGTCTTATTATGCTTATCCTAATGATAGTTACTAGTGATATTAAAATTAATAGCTATCATTAAGAAAACCTCAAAGGGCTTTGGCACAAATAGACTCTATGACAGTCTATTCAATTTTGTATATAAATCTTCATAATAGTCTTAGAGGAACCAGTTGACACAGTCCGATAATGCCTTGAAACCTTGAAGTAATTTGTTGACACATTCATGATAATCAATGTTATGCATACTTGCAGTATTAGAGCTTGTAAAAAGAAGCAAGTTGTTTCTAATATAAGCTCTGAAATGTTCAATAAAATTGGTCCAAAATTCATCACTTCAATGTGATGAATGCTTCAATGTATAGAAATAATAATTATTTATAGCATTGATTGCAAGTATAACAGCATTGTAGTTATCAAGTTGCTCTAAGTGAACTAATGTTTGGCCACTTAGATTTGTAATACACTCTGGTTCTACTATATGTTTGAATTGGACCAATTCACTTATCGATTGGAGATTATGACATGCTAATATAATCAGACATGCTTTTTTTTTTGAGTATTAAAAGCAGTAGCTGTGTTAAAAAGATCTTAAAAGTTCTTATTATTTTGAATATTATGAGCATACTGGAGTTTTTTTTATAACAACCTAAAGTGCTTTCATATATGCTTTCTTTTTAATAGACCATTTTGCCCTTTTAAGCCTAGCCATTAGCCAAAAGCAATCCACAATCACTTATTAGTAGTATTAGGTGATAATCTCTCAATGCTGACATCAGTCTTTTTAATAATGTCAGTATAGATTAGAGAGAGAAAGTTTGACAGAACCTTGGGCAACTCAAGAGAGTTACTGTTGGAG